TTCCAGCAGCAATAATCTATTTTGTGCCACAGGTGGGTAGATAAAGCCAGGAGGTCTGAGCTGCAGCAACCACAATAAAAGAAATTTCTCAGACATATTAGCAAACTGGTGCTGATTTTTTTCCACCAACTTAAAACTGCAGCCCAGTGTAACTATGAAATGAGTGCTGTCCTCAGCCACTAACACGCTGTGGAGTTTCTAGCTGTTTGGCCATCAATCTCATTCGCTTGACCAGTGTAGGATGGAGAACATAGATGGAGGACAATTCAACAAAATCAGCTTCTTTTCTCCCAAAATCTCCCAGCTTTGAGAACAAGGAGGTGCTCAGCTAATGGCTCTCCTCCTAAGCTAATAAGGTCAGAGAGTTTCCCAATGAGGTATAAAGAAGCAGAGGCACTTTTCTACCTCCACCCTCCGGTCAAATATCGCTCAAAGACCATCCAATACCTCACAGTCCATTTTCACATCAAGCTGTTCCTTTTCCTGGCTCCTCAGAGTACAGACTGCCCTGCACACTGAGACTTACACAGTCTGCCAGATATTATACCCATAGGTGCAGTTCTTAATAAAACATACCTGTGTCACTGAAGTTGAAGTGCGAAGAAGGGAAATTATCCCCAGGAGGTCTCATTGCTCTCCTCCTCCTTTCCAACTGCACCTAAGTAATAATGATCAGCTGCTGGCAGTATTTCTAGCACACTCAGTCGGCAACACACATTAGTGCAGCGCTTCCCAAACTGGGGTCCGTGAGCCATTAATGCTTGCAAAGCCAGAGCAAGACACCCACAGCTGGTCCCTGGTACCAGATTAAATAGTAAACTTCCACCATCTCTATCATATTCTTAGTGCAATAGCTGGTGATAAGGACACAAGGAAGCCCACAAGGAGTTCTGCTTAAGAACCAGCAGGTCAGAATTGAGCCTCTGCTCCTCGGCCCAGCTCGCCATAGCCACTGTCAGCAGAGCAAGGGAGCGATCCAGCATCCTGCCCCTTACTGGAGGCACCTGAGCACAAGGCAAGCAATGCGAAGGCTGGAGGGCAGGGAGCACACAGAGAACAGCAGAGATGAACTCACAGGTATTTACCCATTGGCTAGGCACGCAACATATGTTCTTAACTTTGCTTCGGCTGGAATTTGCATTCACCTGCATTTTTCTTAAGTAAGGCAGTGGTGCTTGGTTTTTTCTAAACAGATACTAGTGCGTAACATTCAATAGCGCTACCTGCCGCTTCCTTGGCTCTGTGTTTCTAACCATTCCTGACTTGCACTTCATGTCTCAGAAGCCAAGATACGCCGAGATACTTCTCTGCCTCCTTTCTTGCTGTCTCCTCTCCATATGCCAGTCTTTCATAACATCGCTCTACAAATTGTGTGCTTTACTGAACTTTTCTGTTGGCTAGAGCATTATCTCAAGTGTCAAACATCAGTATCCAATTCTTGGATAGGCAAATTTCTACTCATCTAGCTAGTCTTCTCCAGCACGGTAATCTCTAAGGAAAGCAAGAGCCACTGGAAACACAAGCACAACTCCTTGTGTTTCCTTTTTTGAGTCTTAGTGGCTTGGGAGTGACAAGTTAAAGAAAGTGGGAATGCCAGCAAAAGCTAAGGGAGGTTAAGGAGATGACATTTTTCTTTCTATAGCACTCCAAGCCCTTAAGACATATCCTGCCTTTTTTCTAAACAAAAAAGAGAAGGTAAGCAGAGTCTTGGATCACAATCACAGAAAGCAAATAGTTCATTTTACTGACTGTCATAAAGAAACGCTGGATATTTTGAGGACAGAACGTGGAAAGCAAATGTTCTTCCCCAGATATTTCACAGTGAAATACAAATATTTCATTACGAAATAAAAATATTCTGCTTTGCCATCAGCTAAGGAGATCTTTAGTTTCAGCAATTCAAACAAAAGAAAATTGGAGTCCATAAAAATGAATGAAGTCAGGCAAGTATTATGCATCAGGTGACAAAAGTTATTTAGGTAGCTTACAAGCCAGTGCAGGGAGACAGTGACTGCTGCCCTGCAGCTGGCAAGGCTCCAGGAAATGACACCTGAATGGCAATTCCCCCTGGAGCAGCCGCACTGCCTTCCAATATCCCTCCTTCCACGTCCCAGCGCCTTAATGCCCCGGGGTGGTTGCAAATGCACTGTGAGCAACTTGAGCAGGACTTTTCACGAAGGAAAGAGCTATTCTAGGGGAATAAGACTGCCAGGTTTTCGCTCTACATGAATAGCTTCTGGTGTGCTGCACCAAAGGGTGGATTCAGTACCACCAACACTGACAGGGCACCTCAGCCTCTGGCACCTGCAAAAGGGCTCTGTGCCCTCTTCAGCAGTGAGACAGGGGAGGAGACATTCGCTCTATTTTCACAGGTTATATGACAGCTTGTAAAAATTTTACAGTGTGAGTGCAGCAACTAATCCAATAAAGCTTGCCAGGAACATTTAAAATCCAGGCCTCTGGGATTTTGTTTCCTGTAAGTTCACCAGACTTGTAGCAAAGAGTCGTCTTTTCAGAAACGCAGCATCAACCTCACTGGAGTTGCACAGGCCTGAGGGCTGCTGCTACTTTGCCACCCTTCTGTGGGAAAGAGGGCTGAAAGTGCTGGGAAATGGGCTGTAGAGATGCACAAAACTGACTGGAGCTAATGAGCAGGGACAGGAAGAAGAGAATGGAAACAGAATATAAAGCAGAAACAACCTACAACAGGCATTTAATTCATTTAGTGCAATAACTGTTCTTTATACATGGAAAAAACTGCAGTTTGTATTTGAAGGTCAAAGCATGGAAAGACGCTGTTTCTCTTCCTACTTTCTAGTGTCTGTCACTAACCAGCTATCTAGTGAAGGGTGGAGGGGAAAGCAGGATAAGACAGCAAAACTTTGGCAAGTACGTATTCAAAGAAAAATCCTATCTTCTTACAGAGACACCTCTCCTTTAATTTCACAGAAAGTAGAAGATGACAGATAACTGACAACGACTTTAAAAACAAAACAGCAGCAGCAGCAGCAACCTATAATCATTACAAGATTTCTGATCATGAGAAATGGATTTTTTTCTACTTTTCCTGAAGATATGTCACCTTAAACCACTACTTTTCTAAATAATTTCTTTTCAGTCGCTCTCCCCAGTGGGAGAAGCTGAAGAACTGCATGTATTATAACTACCTGCCAGGCAAACCTCCTTAGGACCTGATCATCATCAGCAGGTAGCATTTGAAAAGGAAACAAAACAGAAATCGTGCTGCAGTATTTGACACCACCCATTGCCCCTACTCATAGGCTTTAGTTCACTAAGAACTCAGTCGGCATTTGGTTATTCTCTCTTTACAGGACCCCTCTTTTTTCTCTCCCTCCAAGCATTTGAGAACAGCTTTGATGGTTTCAGGAGAAAGACAAAAAAGCCTCCTTCTCTCTCAAAAGATTAAGGCCTTCCTAGTGAAAAGCATACCAAAGAGAGAGTGTCGTGTGCGATCTTCCCTTTGTAAATATGCACGCGTTACTTACAGCAGTACCTTTTCGTACTGTATGCATCTGCTTCAGCGGAAGATAAATGTTATAAAAGGACGGAGAACGCAGCCAATATCCTTTGTGGCAGTGCCATGTATAGTTCTGAAAAGACCTATTCATGCCAGCAGCTGACTGGATTTCTCTAGCACACACTTCAACTAGCTGACTGTGCTATAATCTCAGTCAGGCACAGCCAGGAGAGGTACAAGGCTTAAAAGGGCAACAAAGCTAGTGTCTCTATCTTTTTCTGAAAGCTTTCAACATAAGCTGAGGTTAATATCAGAGGATATTTAGGAAATCAGAAGCAACCTGGCTCAGAGTTGGAAGACGGACTGCAGTCTTACCAAGACACTTTCTGCCAGCTTATCTAGGGCTTAAGGAGGGCACCCTCTTTGTATTTCATAGCTCTGGTTAGTACCACGCCAACCCAGTGGATCTGCGTTAGTTACTCGCATCGCGACTCCTTGGTGTGGCTCAGGTCAGCAGAAGTTGCCTACGCTTTATGTTTTCTGATGCACCAGCACTGCAGCATGCCTGCTTTCAAACAGCTGTACAGTAGCGCACACCAGAGAGCAGCTCTTCAATCTCTCTCTCACAACCCTCCGTGCATCTCTGACAGTTCGTGAGAGCATGGAGAATAGGTAATAAGAAAATGATCAAATCTAATTGCAGTCCCACCCCCCTTCTTAAGTGCAGGAACAGAAGTGGTGTCACTTCACAACACTCCTATTCCCCTCAGCATGCTAATAAGCCACTCTGGAAAACTCTAACTATACAGTTAGAGGCATTTAAAGGCACCTCCTAAAGACCTGACAACAGACCCTCCTACACGTGAGTCTGGACGGACATGACAAACAGCATTTGTAACCTGTATACCCCTCGCTGAGCTGCTTCCATCTCCTTCCACAACCTATGCTCTCGTTGACGGCAGTGAAATGCCCAACTGCCCTGCTTTCGCCAGCCGCCTCATTCATTAGAACGATGACGTAGAGATGCACGCCCCCACGTCCCGGCACGGGTGTCCTGCTGACACACGCACGCCTCGTAGGGACTTGATAAGCTCCTGCCACAAAGTAACAGCCCCAACAGAAGCGAGGCAGGCTCTGCTCTCCCTTTGTGCTTCAGAGCTGTGTCTTCAGGAGGGAACGGCACCACCGGGACCCATCACCCTCTGGGACAGAGGAGGATCATCACCCAGAGAGTCCTGATACAGGCTTTAGTGTTGCAACGTGCTGAGCGTGCCATCCCCAAAACAGCAATGCCCTCTACAAACAACCTGTTTTGCCTTGTACCACAGTTTTGAAACACTGCTGAAGAGCAGGCAACAAGAGGATGAAGGAAACACCCCCGACAGGTTGTCCACACAAATTAACGGTGTGGCCTAAACTCCACCTTGCCCCAGTTCCAAAGGTCTAAGTTTAAAAGCAGCAGTAAGCTGACCTTCCATCTTAGCAAGCAGACACAAATGCAACGTTTCAAACGTGTACTCACCCAGAAGAGAAGGTTGAAGACAAACATTAGGTACTTGATACACTGCAGGCAGTTGTGAGCCATGCTGCACCTCTTCAGCTCTAGGAGAAAAATAAACGAGAGATCCAGGTAAAAGACAACGTACTTGTTTCCCTTGGGGGACGTGTACTTAGCCTTGGTAGCCTTAGGGCCTGGGTTGGTGTGGAATCCGAAAAAAGAGTTGCTGGCAGCCCCAAACTGGCCGCCGTACATGCTGCTGTAGCGACGGAAGGCGCCATTGGGGAAACTGTAATCCTTGCTGTCCAGCGACGGGCTCCGGTGGTACGTCGACTCGTCGGTGCTCGACCTGCGCATGGTGCCTTCAGGCGGTCCCACCACGGCTGCTGCTGTGACAACGGTTGAGCGTTGGTGCCGGGGGCGAAAGGTTTACGCTTCTCTTTCCTCCTCTCCGCTCCGAACCCCCTACGGCTTCGCACCAGCTGTTCTTTTGTCTGCCATCCTGCCAAGGAGTTCAGCGCGCCGCACGGCAGCAAAGTTGCTGAACGGGAGCCCGCTCAGCCGGGAGTTAGGCGGCAGCGTGCTTCCGAAGGAGAGAGGCTTCTGCCCAAGCCACCATGCCCTCCGGCGCCGCGGGCGTCCCCCCCAGCCCCCCCGCTGCCAGACAAGACAAAGAGAGGCACAGAGGGAGGTATACTGTACCCAAAAGCAAGGGATTTAAAAACAAAAAAGGAAGCGTGGTCTGGCTTGGATCGCAAATGCCATACAAAACGCCGGCTCCACACGCCGCGGGCAAACAAGCGAGCGCCGCTGCCCAGCCTCGCGGGCAAGGACGGAGAGCATCCGAGGGGCGA